TATATTTTTAATGTTTTATTAGTTTATATTTATAAAAGACATAACTATGTGTATTTGTACATATTATTAAGTATATATATATATATATATATATTTATTTCATATTTATATGTATACGATATGTATATATGCGTATTCATACAATACAAACCATAATAATAATAAAACGGCGACAATAATAATAATAATAATTATTATTTTTATTTTTATTTTTATTATTTTTATTATTATTATTATTTTTTATAGGTTATATAGAACGATTTGATTTAATTAAACAAAAAAAGGTTCCAGCTTAGTGGTAAAGTGCTTAAAGCTAATGTGTGTTGTTGCCTGGAGGTTCAGAGTTTGAATCTCCCTATGTGCACTCGGATTTTTGAAGCTTTCCAGCTCACAAGCACGAAATACTATGCCTAGGTTTTTGTGGCGCGGAATACTATGTATAGGTTTTTGTTATCTACCTAAAAAATAATAATTGTAGGGGTATGATTAAAAAATCTGGGATAGGTATAACAATACCCTATAATTTATGGTTTATAGGTGTAGTTCTTGTAGTTTCTTTTTTCTTCTAGTTCCGTACTTTAGTAGCTAAGTGTAGAGATGCATATTGGTGATTTCATTTTTCATATTGGTCTCAAAACGGTCTAGTTTTTTAGATTGGTCTCGCACCGGTCTAGCCTTTTTTGAATCTGTCTTGAAACAGATTTCTTCTAATTCGGTGTTTTTTGTTTTTGTTTTTTTTCCTTTTACGCAGGCCTTAATGCGGTATTGTCTTTTTTGGTATTGATGATATTGATCTTTTTCAGTCTAGTACTTGTGCGTCTTGTTCTGTTCAAATCCAATTTTTCTGGTTTTCTTGTTTCGGTTTCTAATTTTTCTGTTAATAAATATGTGATAACATAAAAATGATATATAAAGATGTACAAAAAGGATATATTAAAATTTAATAAAATAAAGAAAGTACGAAGTTAGGTAACATGTGATTAACACAAAATACTATGCATATAAACTTTTGCTTTGGATCTGTTTTGGAGACCGGTCTCTGACATATCTTGAATCGGTCTCAGATTGATCTTGGAAGGGTCGAATCCTTTTTGAGAATGGTTTCAGAACGGTCCCTCTTTTCTCAAATCGTCCTCGGGAGGTATTTTTCTGTCCGATCTCGTTTTAGATCGGTTCGGTCTCGACTTTCTTTGAGACAGATTTTGGACCGGTAATTTTGTTCATGGCTTAAATACCGTTTACAAAACTTTTACCAACCTTTTTATTTTATTTCTCAATTTTTTTGTACATAGTTATTTATCTTCGGTTGCATGAAAAAGATTATTTTTTTAAATACTTTTTTATGTTTGAGAGTTTTTTCATTCTTTTACTATATTTTTTTTGTTAAAAAATCTTTACAACTTTTATAATTAAACAAATAAAATCAAACAAATAGTTTATATTCAGTAAAGGAAAATTTTCATATATGTCCTTATTAAACATCAAAATATTATATTTGTCCAGCCTAATTTCAAAATATCATATTTATCATCATAAACTTTTAAAATATCATATATATCCTTAAACATCAAAATATCATATATATATATATATATATATATATATATATCATTCTAAAATATCGAAATATCATATATATCCTTCTTAAACATCAAATATCAAGGGTAATATTTAAGTATCATCGTGCTACAACACTGTAACAATCGGCAACGATAAAAACTAAACAATCAATGCATAGATTCCAAGGAGAGAAGTATGAAGACGATGTGTACATTGTGTCGTGCTGGTAAAAGGACGAGATTCCAACAATTTAGAAGTAAACGATCCACCAATTTAGACGTAAGGACAATATTGTTAATTTTTTAGTTATTATAATTATTTTAAGACATAAAAACGATTATAAACAATTAAAAATATTCTAAAAACGATTTGAGCAAATATGTTATTTTAGAGGTTTTTGAAAGGTAAATATGGTTTTTAGAAATTCATCTAGACAAATATGATATTTTGATGTTTAATAAATGCATGTATGAAATTCTCCCTATAACGGGGGATTTAACTTATTTGTTATATTATTAAAACATATATTTTAAGGAGATTGAGTAAACTAACCCTTATAAATGAGGTTTTCACAGAAAATAACCATATTTTTCAGTTTTTGGAAATAACCACTTTCTCCTAAATGCCTAATCACAGAGTATTGTTCATATTCCGGAGTTTTTTTTTTAGTTTTCAAAGAAAATTTTTTATTTTATTTTGGGATTCCAAATGTTACATTTCGAAATATTTAATGTCAACGTTTCTCAATAAAATATCTAATTTCATGCGTTAATATCGTATATAGCTCACATTAATATATATATTTTTTAACTTTTTTGTTAAATTTAAGTAAAAAATGAATTTTTTTCTCAAAATTCCGGAATTGTTCTTCGGATCAAACTTGTTTTTGAAATTTTAGAGTTTTTTTTTTCTTTCGAAATTCGAAATTTTAGTCCGGAATCCAGGATGACATTCCGAAATTAGTAAAAAGAATGTTTTTTCTTGTCCGGAATACCCAATTACGGACAAAGTGGTTATTTTGTCAAAAAAAAATTTACTTTTTTCAAATACACATTAAAAAGTGGTTAAATTACTTTATATTTTATCATATAAAAGATAATTATATAACTAAATTAGAATTAATTCTATAAACTCAAACTCAAAGCAATTACAAAAAGCCATTTAGTTGTAGTATTGATTACTATGCGAATCATCGCGTAGGAAAACAATTATGTTGTTAAGAATGTGTTAGAATTTACAATTTGTCTACGTTTTTTTTTTTCACATTTTTCATATCGTTATCAGTGACTTTTATGAATATGTCTTTTTCAATAAAAGTGAGCAAACATCAATGATATGATATTTTATGTAATATGTTCGATTGTAAATGACAATGAATGTGATATATTAATATTACAGTGAATATTTGATATCTTTTATATAGAATATGTACAAAAAAAGTTATTTCGTAATAAAGTAAAGAAAATGATATTGTAAGACTAAAAGTTGTTGAATATGTTGTTTGTTTATGTCATATTGCAAAAGAATGTTATATTTGAAGGTTGATAAAATGATAGGGTCTCAGCCATATTTTGATATACCAAACTTTATATATTGAAAGTTATGATATATAAATAACTTAAATTTACTAATATTAGCATATGTTATTCCAATTTTGAAACCGACAAAACTTTTAGTAAAATTGAAGCTTTTTGATATTCTTAAACGGGATTGAAATATTTAAATTGAGTTTAGTCTTTTAAGCAAATAATATGATTATCTAATGTGTAGAATGAATATTATTAAACGGGATTGAAATATTTAAATTGAGTTTAGTCTTTTAAGCAAATAATATGATTATCTAATGTGTAGAATGAATATTTTATATTTATTATTCATATAAGATGATGTGTATAAGGTTATAAGTTATTAAATAAATTGTTATTATGTAACTTAGTATTTCTAAGAGTAATTAAAATATATTTGTAGTCATATTAATATAACGAAAAATTATTATTTGCATTGAAGTGTTATTTTAATATTACAACTCTTCAAATCCCAACTAAATGTTATTTAGATACAAATCAAAGATGTTTTTCATTCATTGTAATTAGTGGATACTTATTGGACTTAATTAGATAGGATTAAAATATTTAAATCTTGTTTACTCAATTAAATGAATTATACGTCTAAACCAAATATTATACCAAAATGTTTCAAACCAATTATTAAAAACTTAATTATGTGTCTCTAATATTTTGTGTGTACTTATTATATAGGAGTGTATGTATTTTTTTCTCTACAAACATAATAATCAAATATATAATATAAAGTTATATATTTGAGACAAAATATTCATAACTACATTACAAACTTAAGGATGTAGAATTCTAGTTTGCAACAATCATATAAATACATAATATGAATGTAACATATTATAAAATTAAGTATATATAGTTCAAAAGTTGTGACATTAATCT